AATTCTTAAGAGAATTATTATTACAAAATATTATTTTATATGTGTCAAACAATAACAATGCTAAGATATTCTAAGAAATTAGCATTTTTTTTTAAAATGAAAGTATAGTTGTGTTAATAGTAGGGGTGTTTGCGGTGTGGTTTAGTTTAGATTTTAATATTTTTTAAACCAATCCACTTTAATCGGTTAATAAAATTTTTAAACTAATCCAATCTACTATTATATGATAACCAAACCAATTCAACTTAAATTGGATTGATGTGGTTCAGTTAAATTGATCGGTTTTTATCATTATTAAATATATGAGATAATGTAAAAATATTTTAACATCAAATACAAAATATAACTATAAAACACATTAACATCCAAATTAGTAAAAACATAATAAAATGTATAAATTATAAATAAGTTTTTATATTCTTTTACATTTGTAAAAATTAAAAAGCTCTGAAAATTCTTCTTAGTTACATCACTAAAGGCACCAAGAATAATAAAAGATGATTTCAAGTTTATAACACAGTATAAATAATTCTTAAAGGTTAAAATTAGTTTTTTTTTTCTTAATGCACTAATAATTTAATCACATCTCCTAAATCCTGTTAAAAGTAAATAAAATTTAACATAAATATCACTAAAATTGATTAGAAGCATTCATAATCAAAATTTAAAATTTCTAGACCAAATATTCAATAATAGTAGAATATCAAGACTAGATTTATTATATTATTTTAAGACTTTTAGAATAATACTTTTTTAAAACTTCTTTAGGAGAATCATAATATTATTTTAGAAATTCAAGATTCTAAGAATAAGGGCTCAAACCAATTTTTAGGGAATAGAGTTATAGGTGAATTAGAAATTTAGAATTAGGGTTAGAGCGCATGATTAAAATGGAAAAATAACTTACGGAATATGGAGATGTTTTATTTTTATTTTTTAATTAAATTAAAGAAGTTATTATCTTGTAAAAAAAAAGAAATTTTAAAATACTACAAAAATTGTATTATATTATTTAATTAAGTTATCTTATAATCAGATTTTATTTTGCAATCAGACAGTTCGAGCGATTTGAAGATAAAACTACAAACCAAACAAATTATATCGGTTTTAAAATTTTATAATTTAAACCAACCCAATTTTATATTGCTTTGGATCAATTTTTTATTAGATTGTATCAATTTAGGTTAGATCAATCGAATTAGATCGAATATTAACACCCCTAATTAATAGTTGGATTAATTATAAGGCAAATTATATCTT